ATACTGCTATTACTGAATGGATATTGTTGTTATGCTTTAGGGCGAGAAATATCAACGTAGTGACGCACAGTGTCTTACTATTGGTCATAAAGGGTCAAAAATTTGGAGAAAGAGTATTTATGATTTTTTTTAGATTGGGCAAAAAAGTAAGAAATAAAATGACGATCAAATGACAAAACATGCGTCAGATTAACCCGGCAGTTGCTGGGGTATTTCCCCATCCGCCGTTTGCCGGGGGGGGGGGGGCGTTCAACGCCCCCAGCCGATAACTCGCGAACAAATAGGCGCAGCGAAACGCACGAGGCGCGGCAAACGAAAGAAGAACGCGACGAGACGACTCACATGAATACTTTAAAGTTGAATTTCGAGGTCACAGGTCGGGTCAAGGTCAGGTCAAACACTTGAAATCGGGCTTTCAGTAGCATGGACTTTAGAACCTCGCAATCGTTGCCTCGCGTTTCGCGTTTCGATTATATCGTCATCAGTTGGTCCTAAATAAATTCAGTCATCAGTTGGCCCTAAACAATCTGTCACAACTGTCACAACTGTCACAACCCTTCATATAAGTGCTAAAAGAGTGTCAGATCAATGTAGGGGTCAGTCAAACATAGGCCACTGGCCAGGGTCAAAGTCAGGTCAATCAGGTAAGCACATAACCCCGAAAATTAAAACTGGTACCTATTCGCAGCCCATGCATGACACATGTTTTATGGGTACTTTTGGGCGTAGAACACGATGGTGACATTCATTTTATCATACGAGTACGTGGCTGGTTGAAAAAGATCAATTTCAGAAATGCATGCATCATGGTCGTGAAGTAGTCACGAGAAATTGCCAACATTCAGTTCAAGATTTTGGAAAATGTAGAACGATTATCAAAAACCATAGATAGCTATTTGATTTGCCATGGTATTGGCAGTGTAATGGCGTTTACAGCATGTCTGTATGTCTGCTCTGTCGGTGGATATCCATATCCATACTCCAGGATATCCATACACGTTTGCACAATATCCATACTCCAGGTGCAGGGGCGAGCAGTTACTTCTTACGAGGGGTGCGGAGTCGAAGTCAGAGTCGGAGTCAGAGTCGCCCAGAGTCGTAGCAACGAGCCAGGAGTCGGAGTCGGAGTCGGGGTCGGTCAGGAGCCCGCAGTGGAAGTCGGAGTCGGTCCGAATCGGAACAGCTCCATCACGACTCCGAAACACTGGCAGGGGTCCGGAGTCGGAGACAGAGTCGGCCGGAGTCATGGCAACGAGTCAGGAGTCGGAGTCGTAGTCGGAGTCGGATTTGGCGCCACCACGACTCCGCAAACCTGCTTCTTACCATCATTTATAAGGATAAGCGATTGCAAGACTGACGAGCCGACCTGGTGCTAACGAAGCGACGGGTAGGTACGCCTCGGGAGATGAAGCTTCACGGACGATTTTGCGCACAAGTGCGCAGTCTGCTTTTACGTTCCCCTTACCCAGAATTGAACAGAGATTTATTCTGCCAAAAAGCTCAATGGAGGTCGATGGAGAACTTTTTGTATGTCCAATGAAACATAAACGTAATTTTGCAAATATTGCTGTGGTGACACTGCAAACAGCATGCAATGCCGTTCCTGATTTTGAACACGCATGGGAAAAAGAGTCACTCCACTCGATAGCCAACATAACAAGGATTATTTTGATATATAATAATCCAGTTTTACAACGTCATGGAGGTAATCCACATGCTATCAACAGCGCGGTTGTTTAAACCTTTGACGGCGCACCAAAAAAGCCACTATCAGAAACTCCCGATTCCACGTACAATAATGGAGACTAAATGCGCAACTAAATAATTTTTTCTGCCCAATTCAAAACATTTCATCAATTTCCAACAGAATGACACCCCAAATATACATAAATTCCGAAATTGCCCACGGCCATCCGTGAGGCCGTTTCCAACCATAGTGCGCCGGCCCGCTGCAGCGGCGGCCGCTCAGGCCGGGCTGCGGTCGGCCGGCGCCGCTCCGCCGGCCGGGGTTATTTCCGAACTTCCACGCCAGTTTCCGTCGCCAGGGCTCGCCGGCTCGCCACTGGGAAATGAAAGTTACGCGTCGCCATGGCCTGACGGTTACTGTGAGTGAATGTGACGACCCGCCTCGGTTGCTGCCGCCTGTGCGTCTTTTCGAGGGGAGGGGCAGCCGTGCGTTGTTTGATGAGAGGGGCATCAGTCGAGCGTTGTTTGAGCTCAGATTTATCTGAACGGTGTGACCTAGTTTGGTGGACGATACGGTAAAATATATGGGGATCTGGTGGAATCTTTTATGGCAGTTGACTCAACAAACTGACGGGCGATTGAGGCCAATGCATGCAGCGTGGTCTGTCCTAGGAGCACACATCTGGGTCAGAAACGACACGCTCAGAATCTCCGTGAAGCTAACCAGCGAGTTGGTAACTTGTTATCCCCGTCAGTAACGGATGATGCCCCCTCCAGTGTCCATGCACCATGCAACTTGCATTGTCTGCCTGCGTCTTTGAAACCCGCCTTCTTATTACCTGCTGGGGTATCACGTGCTTTGGAGTTCATTAATGCAAGATGCTTACTACCTGCTTTGACATTACGTGCTTTGGAGTTCAATAATGCAAGATGCTTTCACCCATGGCCCTCGTTGATTTGCATACTTCAAGAACTCTTTGATTTACACTCTTAGGACTGATGCGTTTGCAGAAGCACGCAATGCAGGGGATAATTCAATAGGAGATTAACTCTAATGTGTCTACAGTTGGGGACGGACCCGTTGACCTGTGTTCGTGCAGTTGTAGGGCCGCTTTGACATCGAGTCCGAAGCCATCAGAGCGACCAGCTCGCCGGAATACTGAGACCACCCGGAACCGAGCAGCTGTTGGGTTATCGGCGGCCAGTTGCTTCGACCATGGGGAACACTGCCTGGCGAGCAATGACTTCGCAATCGTCACGCCATTAAATCCATACAAGCAAACAAACTGGGTGGCGATTGAAGCGTTGGCATATCTGGCGTATACGGGTATTGTTTCGCCAGCACTCACCGCCTTTTTAGGTGCTAAGCTGAAATAGAATGGATGAGACCAGTAAGCCGATTTTGCAGCTGTGTGCAGTTGAATCATAAGTGTCAGTTTCCCTTATCTGAATCAGCTGTTCGCCTCCCATTCCGCTGGTGGCGTTTCCACCCGTTCCGGAGGCGTGTCCTTCTCCGATCCACTCTATTCCACTTGTACGGCTCCAACTAATCCACTTTTGTCAAGTGTGGCGGACATAATGAACGCTGACGCTGCATTTGGCCGGCAAGTGTCTCGTTAGTTTTGTCAACGAGGCTGTCATAGAACGAGGAAAACACTGCCGATGATGAACTACTGAGGTGGAAGGAATGAACTACTGACTCCATTGCTGTACGGCCAGTAAATGACTCAGCGCTGTTATGGTATGGATTAGACGCGCTAACACTTCCTCGTTTCAGTGCAGTCGACTCGGGCAAGTGTGCCACACGTACCGCGCTATACTCGTATCAGCGGCCGTGTGGTGGTCGACGGTGTGTGTGTGTGGCGTTGAGGTGTATCGAGCGACTGATAACTGGCTCAGAGCTTTTGTGATCGAACACTGGATGGTGCTTGCGGTGGCGACTGGTGACTGGCTGGCTAGTGTGGATTTTCAACGTCTGCGTCTGGTTTCGACCTGATTAGCGGTAAGCTGTTATAATGCTGTTGCTGAATGCAACCCCGCGGCAAGGTCGGTCATGTGCTACATAATCATTCATATTCAGCTATATTTTCCCGAAATTATTTCTTCAGCGACGGTTCATGGTTCTTCAGCGGACGAACTCAATAAAAGGATCACAAACCTTTCAACCTCGAGGCCTCCAGGTTTCAAAAGGTTTCAAGCCTCAAGCCTTTACCTCAGCTAATTCTTGTTCAACATTCGGCACTACAAGCTGATCCCAGAGTGGTTTTGCTCTCGCATTTCGTCGCGTCATCTCTCCGTCAGAACCTGAAGGTATTATTACGACCCCGCCACCGCCGTTGAAAGGCAATTTCGTTTTGATTACTGATTCAACAAGCCAATTGTGTGTTTGATTGCTAGCTTCAGGGCCTCTTTGTCTGGTGTCCACCCTGGGGACTTTCAATTGTGGATGTGTGAGTGACAGAAGAATGCTGGAGGAGAAATATTGAGGCTGGCAAGTCGCTGGCAACTCCTTCACCAAATGCTGTGGCGACATTATTCATTTGATCCTTTCAATACCCGTCCGGCCCTTTGCGCTTGCTTTGAAGTGCTATGAAGTGGATCAGTCCTCGAAGGTAGAACATCACTTCTGTATTAGCACGGTGTCTTGCTCCGCCCGCTGACTTCAATATTTTGTATCGATCACAGCATCAAGGGTCACTTCGCTTTATTGACCAATGACATTCGCCATGGAAAAGTGGCTACTTGCTGCGTGGCTGGCTGCCATTTCACTGAACCGTTACATCGTTGCATTGTAATGATTCCTAATCGCCAGTTCGATTCTAATAAATGCCATTTAGATATTCGTGTTTCTTAGAAAGGTGAAATCATACTGCGCCACGAGCAGTAAAGCCCCCAAACAGGAGAGGAGCTTTTTATTCCTTTGCTCCTTTGCTTCCTTTAAGGATGTAAAGTTGTCACACATGTGTCCAGTTGACAACGTCCAGTGCTGCTTGATGGTACGCAATGCTTGCCGTAATAAGTAGTAAAATAAGTTCATTTTGATTACTTAAGTCAAATAGCTGGATAATTCTTTTTCCATACAATGCTCTCCGGACTGGCACGATAACCTCGAATCTGACGGAGACACTGCGGTTGAGTTTGAGATAATCATTCGTTAAAGACATGTCTGATGTGCAGCTGTCCTGCATGCAATACCTACATTATCGGTGAAACCCAGTCACACCGTGGTAACACAGGATGGCTCCATTATTGCCACCTTGCTCGCCACATCTCTCCGACCCCGCTCTAACCGCTCGCCCGTCCGTCTCCCACAGCCATCTCCAAGAGCACCGACGCAGTAGACCTGGGCACGCGGGCCGAGGGCGGCGGGTGCGAGTCTACTGAGACGGGTCACCGTCGCTCCAACGGCTACTCGGAGGAGTGTCTGGATCGTTTGGAGCCCAACGGCAACATACCCAAGGACGGGTCGCTGCACCGCGGTAAGAGACTGAGGAGGGGGAGGGTCAGAGATGGGCAATGGATTTCAGAGGTGCGTTCGGGGCGGGAATGAAAGCAAAAAAGATCGTGATAATTTGATTAGATAAGGGTCTAGAAAGCTGTCTTTATAGCATGTACTGTACCGGAATTGGTCTAAACTAGGTATGCTAACGTTTGTATGTTAAGAAGATAAACGCTGAAACAAAACGATAAATACTTTTTCTATTCATGTGCTGTAATCGATGGCCAATGTCGTTCGAACGTCCGAAAACGCAAACATTGCGATGTGTGGGGCAGGCAGTCTTGTCATACTATGACCTATGATCTGACCTGAGAGCTCTACCCTGTCTACAGGCTGGGAGCGACTGGCCGGCGGCGACTCGGTCGGCCGTCCCCCCATGTCGGCCTCCTCCGACAGCCGTCTACTGGACGAACAGGGCCGCAGCGAGGCCAGAGTTGTACTACGACACAAGCGACCGCCCCGACCCAAATCGGAGTGTCTGCTCAGTCAGGACAGCCGCGTCTCGAAACGTTACTCGGCGTTTGGGGTGAGTCTGGGAACAGGAGGGACGGGGGGAGTGAGAAGTGATGAGTTTGGTTTGGGGTAAGTAGAATAGATGGGTGAGCTGCTGTAACTTTAAGCAATTTTAGAAAGGGCGACTTGTGCGTGCGTATGTCATGAAGATTCAATGTGGCCTTTATTTTGATTACATTCGTGCGTATTGGGGCTAGGGTATGTGCTTATAATGGAGGAAAACTGATGTTTGTGTCGCAGTTGCTTAGTCCGAATTACGTAAAAGGGACCAACGTTTACAAAATATGGCAGCACATTCACAACACATTATGCTGGGCTAAAAACGACAACCCAAATAAGAATGGAGCGAGCTGCATTACGCCGAATATGAGCTGCTTCCTAGACCTTACCCTATTTTCAGTACAATGCTTGGCTGAGCAAAGCACCTAAAGGCGTAGGCTGGCTTTGGGTGCCTCTAAAATCCTTCTACCAACCCAACTCAGTGTCGTAAAAGGCAAAACGGCACCGGGAAACACCTCTCTGTGTGATGGGTTTTTCGTGTAAGATAAATGACCGCATGGTGATTTGGGGCGTTGATCCGGCGCGTGTGTGAGGCTGGGCTGATAAATCTGCTGCCGGAACGGGTCGATGGGCGGCGGTGCGTGGCGGGGGACGGAGGTGACGTCAACACGACTTCCGGAGGGGGGGGGGCGTCCCCACAGGGGGTGACTGAATGGGCGTAGAATATCGGTCTGTGGGGATCTGGGAGAAGTTTATTCTATTTGCTGGTTGAAGGCCAGATTTCATGCAGGCCTCAATGGAGTTAGATGTGCGAGTCTTTCTATGCACCTTGGATGTTTTTTTTTTTTTTTAGTTAGTTAGGTATCTGATATTACTTGATAGTTTGTATTTTGCTTTTTGATTGTCATCCCATTTTTTATTGCCTCTCGATTCATCACTTGTCATGGCGATTACGTCTTCTTTGATGTTTAAGAGCTTCAACACTCATTAAACATTTTCGTTAGGCATAATTAAATCGTTAAACTGTTTATATTAGTGTATGTAACTGTTCTGATATAATCGGCAGCGTATATGTTTTGGGAGGAGGGCGTTTCGGCACGCGGAAGTGGGTCCCTCCCCGGACGTTAGTGCCAGTTTACAGCGCGCGCTATCAGAGCTCGCATGGCTGGGCTATTTTCGCGCGATGGGGCGACGCGACACTCTTAGCGCCGACTGCCACCGCGTGGCTGTCCCGGGAGCGGCGGGTCCGACTGGCCAGCCGCCAGGACGGACACACGCACCTGTCACACCTGTGTCGGGTCAGCAGACACCTGTCACACCTGTGTCGGATGGAGGACACCTGTCACACCTGTGTCGGGTCAGCAGACACCTGTCACACCTGTGTCGGATGGAGGACACACCTGTCATACCTGTGACAGGCCGTGGACACCCGTCACGTCCCGCCCGCACCAGTCACTGTGTCATGAGGGGTGTCAGTGGGAGAGGGATGACCGGAAGTTGGATGGTAAACCGACTGGTAAACTCTGCACGACTGACCTCTCAAACCGTGAAGCTCAGATGCATACACATCCTGTAGGCTGAATGAGAGTGACGTGTGTTTTGGCTATGGGCGTTCCAGTACTCTGTTTGAATGCACTCTGTATGTGTTTCAGGGGGACTCGCCATTCGGGAGACAAGAGGCCTACATAAAACAGGATATGCTCGGAGAAGGCTCATACGCCACCGTCTACAAAGGCTATAGCAAGTGAGTTTGTGCGTGAGTGGGCAGGATATGGTGTGGACTGAGATTTTATGCGTTGCTCTGCAGTACTTCAGGACTCTTCAGTACACGACTCATCAGTCGATGATACGTGGGCTGCATTGAATGACCCATAGACAATTTTGGTCTCTCTGAATATGCACAATGCATCCATTACTGGAAAGAGTATTATTACCCTTTCTTTTGTATTCATTTGCGCCCAAACATTTTGATGGTGACTCCTCTAAATATTTAGTCAATAGTCAGCATCTCTTTCGTCGCCATTCTTCCTTTTCGTCTTCTGTCTTTTGCAATCGTCTGAATTGTTCCTTATGACGACCGACCGCCATCAACGCTCTTTGTCTTGTTTATTTCGTTCATATTTTAGCCTTCTGTTCTCGATTTCCCTGCGGTCTGATAAGTTGATTTATGAACCCTATCGCCTTCTCACTCGTGGTTGTATTGTTGTTAACAGTGAAATGCGGCGTGCTACCGATGATTATTGAAATCGAACTGCCTCCCTACCCGTAAATAATGTTTTGGCTAGCTCTCCCTAAAGCCGTTACCTCAACTCCCCAATGTGCATTGAGTAGCCGCTGTTGTTCGATTCGCAGCTCGTTTGAAAAGTTAATTATGCGCAGCGGACCAGTAAGCGGCGTTTTCTTCGGCCAACAGTTAAGCTGTAATGGGTATGGCTGTGCTGTGCATTCGATCCAGGCATCTCATTAAGCGTGTATTCCATTCGCGCTCCCGACAGTCCTCTCCTGTGGCATTTTGGATAAACATGCATACATTTCCCCTGGGGCTGTGGCATGCTTGTTCTGGGCGAGTGTTTTTTGGTACCCCGTCCCTCCATCCCTGGTCTGTGTTTTGTGCTCGCCTCTGCTCTCTCCCGCCCTATGTCTGGGCAATCATAGCACGATCGGGGCGCCGTTATGTGATTACTCGGCCGGGTAACGCGGTCAGAGCGAACCATAATCACATCAGAGGCGCTGCCGGCGCCGCCCCCGCCCCCGCGCCCGCTCCCGACCCCGTCTCTACCGCCCCCCCCCCCCGCTGCCGCCCCCGTGAACATCGCTCGCTCGCGAGAATGGTTATCACGGTAATGTGCTATGAAGTGGCATAACTGATGGCCGGTATGTGATTGCTCGTAGAGTTGTGTTGTGCGGGCTCGGAGTATGGCATGTTTGTTCTCGGCGCTCTTAGGCTCGAGGTTTCTATTAGAACACACTATGCATAAACCAATGCTGATTTCAAAGTGAATTATTTTGTATTATTTGACCTTTTACAATGAAATAGTTCTGTAACTCATTTGTTAGTGACTCAAAGATTGTCCAATTTGCTAGCAAAGCCGATCTGAAACGCTATTACATCATTCATTGAACTGCATAAGATAAAACAGAGTAACCTTTGGTCCGTGCCAGCTCAAAGTATCAAAGGATGCCATTCCTTCTCTGTAACTCAGCTTTCCGTCCACATTAGCACCATTTTAGCGCCGCGTGGGTCAACGGCCAGACATCAGTCAGGCCGCACGGGCCCGGTTTAATATTACGCCGGCGCCTCGGCAGACAAAATTAGGAGTCATTTGCCATTCAAAACACCCTTCGCGCCTTATCGACCGGCCCCTCTGCCGCTCCGCCCTCTCCCCACGGAGCGGAGATCGTCTATCTCGTGCCTCCCGGAGCCTCCCCTGGCTGATCTCACCCGTCTGCCTTCCCGGGGAGGGGCCTTCCGGCTCAGTGACTGACCGATGCTGATTCGTTTCGACCCAGCGACCGCTATGATGGATTGGGGTGTGATTGCTGCCGGCTTACCGCGGATCGAAACCTTTGAAGATGTATTGATTGGGCGGTTTCAGTTGGTAGCTACCTGGCCGCGGCGCCGCCGGAATTTATTGTGATTGATGATGTGAGGAAATCCAATATGACACCGACAGCGGCTCATCCGTTTTCTTTCACCGAGGCTTTCATCATGTCTTTTTTGTAAAATTTTATCTTAGACAGAGGAGCCGGTTCGTTGGACAAGAGGCTTGGTATGCTACTGCTTTTGGTGATCTTTTAGCTAGAATATTTCCTTTACTAGAAAGGCATACCGAAAAGCAAAAGACACCGAATTGTAGCTTCAAAGGCAGTCAACATTTCGCCTCTGCTCAGGCCTCCGTTATTCTTTCTTTTTCTCTTCTTTCTCGTCTCTTCTCTTCCAGCAGCTCCTGTCGCTTTTCTTGCCTCTTGAATTTTAACCCCTCTCTTCTCTCCTCTCATCTCTCACTTTCCACCTTACCCCCCTTTCCTTCACTTCTTTCCTCACTCCGCCGTCTGTATGCAGGTGCCAGCGCGCTGGCCCGGTCGACCATTGTTCCCTGTAATGGGGACGCGCCACTGGGTCCATGCCGACTCCTGGGGGACCGCTTGTGCCACTGTCTCCATGCCAGTGACAGCACCAAGGCTAGAGTCTCGGTAGGAACGTGAGCTGGTGTGTGGCAGCGGTGACCAGCCGGAGAGAGAGAGAGAGGGGTATCGACTCGGCGGCGATACGGAGGCAGGGAGAGGGGAGGGGACGAGGGGTGATACCTCGGCAACAATGGGGAAGGGGACGTGAGTGTGTGTCGCTGTCAGACTTGTCTGGCGAGTGCAGAAAAAGGCTGCGAGTTTTGCAGAATCTGGGTGTTTTTAGCGGAAAGTTTCCCGTCTTTGTTGCTACGCTCGGCTGCCGGGCGAATGAGAAACCAAAGCCGGGGCCATTGGCTGGGTATGGAAGGACGAGACGACTGGAATATGGGAGCCACTAAATGATATGGGGACGTATAGTGAACGGCCCAACTGGCAAACTGATGAGATGGAACGGCGCAGGAATTTTAACGCGGCGGAGAAAAAGGAAAGGGATTTTTACAGAGGACGGCGACGTTGCCGAGCGAGGTTTGTCTATGTTGGGCATCTGTCCTTGTAGCTTTACTAAATGGTACTATTATTAAAGCGAATATTATGTGTGTTTTTGGTCATGTTTATTTTATGTGGTGGTGTTGAAAGCAACGGCATTTTGTTTTTGGGCTACATGATCCAAAAACAAAATGCCGTTAGTCTCGAATCAAAAAATTGATTCGAGACTCTTTTTTCATCCAGTGTCTGCCTGTAGGACTCACTTTGCTCGTTTGATTTCAGTTTAAGTGTTTATCTGTGGAGCACGGCTTACCATTTGTCCTGACCTGCGGCTCCTCCAGTGTAATACATGTGGCCGTGTATTATGTATTATGAGACTGTGTACCCGCTGCCGTCCGCCATATGTCAGACCTTGTATGAACTACCACCCACCCCTGACCCCTCCACTGACACTTGTCTCCCCCTCCCCTCCGTGCAATGTCAGTCCCAGCACCATCTGTCATCCGCCCTATGTCATACGCTGTACAAACCTTCCACTGACACTTATCTCCCTCCTTCCCCAGCCTGACTCAGCAGACGGTGGCGCTGAAGGAGATTCGCCTCCAAGAGGAGGAGGGAGCGCCCTTCACCGCTATCCGCGAGGCCAGTCTGCTCAAGGAGCTCAAACACGCCAACATTGTCATCCTGCACGACATTATACACACCAGGAGCGCGCTCACGTTCGTCTTTGAATATGTGGTGCGTATGGGGCTGGGGGCTGGCCGTGGGTCGGGAAAATATGACTTTCAGCTATTGTTTTCGTTCACAAGCTAGTTAGAATAGAGTTGCTCATTGTATTGGAGACAAGCAAGGTATTAGTCAATCGCTGCTAACGCTAACTATGATTAGCAAGTGGATTAGTGACTGGCTATGGTTTGCATTAGTACCTTAAACTATTGTTTTATTTGTTTTGAGAGTATCCTTATTGTTTCTGAAAACGATAATCGCCTTCGAGGATCACAATTTGTAACTGCATCTGATTTATAAAAGTTCGCTGGTCCTTGTAACTTAATGAATTGCTGGCGGGCATCTACCAATAGCTGGGTTGCGCTGAGGCGGTAAAAAATACGGGTGTAAGGCCACTCCAGATTTAAACACTACTCTTCGACGTCATATCCGCTCTCGTCTCATGACAGACCGTAGCCCCGCTTCCGCCGGGAGCATCCACGCTGTTTTCATTCGGCGCTGCGCTGGCAGCGAATCAGCCCCACACATCATTGATGACAGCTGATGAACGATTTAGTGTTCCACGCCGTATTATTTATGTGCTAGCAGTTCCGATCTGCTCTGGCACCGGTGGTAGTGTTCTTAGATCAGTTATGGTGGCGGGCGGATGAGGATAGAATTCTCCGTCGTCTGAGTTGATGGGATGAGTTATGACAGTCCCCATGCTGTGTGGTGGCGGCCGTCCAAAATCAGCGGTCTGTTTCAATTCAGCGGCGTGCTTATGTATCTGATTGCCGTGTTGTAATGTAACCGCCGGATAGATGATGAATTTGATAACATATAACCACTGATTGAACTGTACTGCACTGCTCATTGTTACTTCTCGTTAGCCTCAATGTTATCCCTTTGTTCTGGCTGTGCATTCCTCCCCAGTACCCCTTGATCTGACCTGGACTAACCACCCACCACAAGCCCACTAACCCACTAACCCCTTGACATACGCTAACCACTCGCCCCTCTCCGTCTCCAGCACACCGACCTCTCTCAGTACCTGGAGAAGCACCCGGGCGGTCTACACGGTCGAAACGTGCAGCTGTTTCTGTACCAACTGCTGCGCGGCCTCAGCTACTGCCACGAGCGGCGCATCCTTCACCGAGACCTGAAACCTCAGAACCTGCTCATATCGCAGATCGGAGAGCTCAAGCTGGCCGACTTCGGTAAGAGAGTGGGATAAGAGAGTGGGGCTGGGGAGGGGAAAGTTGGCCCGTTTTGAATGAGGTGAGAGGGTAGATACTGATGCTGTAATGGGTGTTTTTTATTTTAGTTCTAGGTCCTGCAGCCTAGTAATCGGTGTGAAGGCCATGTTTGTTACTGTTCTTGGATTTCAATAAGTTTTTCAATATGCCTTTCTATATGTCTTATTTATTTAATGCCTCCTGTGGTGTACAGTGCGATCTTCACAATAGCCGCCATTGTTGCTCGCTTATCTCTCTCCACTTTTAACCAGACCATCCGTCCCCTACCATACCTACGATATGCGCTGCGACAATGCCCTCACCGCTCGTCTGACCGTCTTACCGCCCCTCCCCTACAGGTCTGGCGCGGGCCAAGTCAGTACCGAGTCACACGTACTCACACGAGGTGGTCACCTTGTGGTACCGTCCGCCCGACGTGCTGCTCGGGTCCACAGGTGAGATCTGGGGTCCGTGGAGGGAGATATGGGATGTGGGGAAGATATGGGGTCCATGGGGCAGGCTCTGCGGGATCTGTGGCTAAATCTAAAACATAGGGACCACACTAGACAAAAGAAGCCTGTCATGAATGGGTGATCATTTAGGGGCACATGAATAATAATTCTCTTACCGGTTTGAAATAGTGTGTCTGTGGGTGAGGGACTTTGTCTGACGTTGAAAGACTCGCGTCGGTGGGTAGAGGTTTATATGATTGTGTCGGAGAGCTATGTTTGGAAAGAATTTATTTAGGATGTGTTTTAGATTCAACATGCGTATAAGTATGATGTATGACTGTGTGGTTGAGGAACGTTTATCTTCATTTGGGAACCCTTTTGTGTGCGGATTTAGGTGTGGATGGAACACCCCTGCCCCTCCCTTCCCCGGTATTGCTTCTCTCTCTCTCTCCCCCTCCTTCGGGGTATCTCCCTACCGGCATTGGATGACAGACTTTGTTTGCAGTATGATATAACAACATGAGCATCTGTTTATGTCGCACGAACTCCTTAAAAACTCAACAGCTTCTTTGCAGTTTCTTTGTGATTACTTCTCGAATGATTACCGGTTTATTCAAATGTCAAGTTGTGATTTTATCCGCCGGTATCTGAATTTGACAGTATCATATCCGGTTAGGAGTCATTTAATTGGTTTATTTTATTGACGCTTCGTAGATCGTCTTAATCTTTTTATGTAGGTCGGTCCGCACGTCTTTTTTTTTTCTTTTATTTTAACCGACTACTGTGTACCTAAAAACGCTTTTTCTTGACCCCGCACACAGTCGCTGCACCTCCCGACACTCCGTGAGCCCCTCAGTCTAGACCTACCCACCTGGTCTCAGTCGAGCCTCAGGCGTGTCTCGGGGGTCGTTAACGCCACGATGGGCTCTGTTGTGATGGTGGGGTGCGGCGCGCGCCGCGCAGTTCCTACTCGACGTTCCTCTGGGATGGGGTAGTCGGGTGGTCGGAAGGGAAATCACAGATGGAAGCGACGCTGAGTGATGCAGAATGAACTGCTGACGCGTATGATGCGTTGGGCTGGCTTTGGGTGCGTTGAATGTGTTATGACAGATGAGGCCCGTTTATCATGCCACGAGGCGTAGAAATGAAAAGTACCTGATATCTACACAAAACGTATCTTATTCTTTAACTTCAATTCTAGAAGCAAACATTGGCAGTCACTGTGAGTGGGCCAGAACGGTCCACTCTCAGCTATTTTGGCTTCTCACTGATGCCAGTCCCCCGCTGCGCTGTCCGAATCCCTCAGTACACTACCGGGGCGACCTCTGTCGTAGTGGAGCTCAGACCCGGCTCTTATCTTGTGTGCCAAAGCGTGCATCGCTTCACTCATTTCCCTCTCTTTCCGTCAGAGGGGTTCCGTGTTCCGTCTCCTTTTGTTCGTTGTTTGCTCATTCCCTGTTTGTTGTTTTTTTTTTCATCAGAGGAGATCCGTGTCCTGTGCGTCGTTTACTGATTTATTCCCAAATGTACAATGTCTTACCGACCCCCTCTCCTTTCCACAGAGTACACCACATCTCTGGACATGTGGGGCGTCGGCTGTATCCTCGTAGAGATGATCGCCGGCGTGCCCTGTTTCCCGGGCGTGCGTGACGTCTCCGATCAGCTCGACAAGATATTCCGAGTGATGGGCACGCCGGACCCGCGTGTGTGGCCGGCGCTCACCGCTCTACCCAACTACAAACCGGAGAGGCTGGGACGGTACCGGGCGCGCCGGCTGGCCGACGTGTTCCCGAGGATGGCCGAGATGCCTCACGCCGAGTCACTGGCCAACCGGCTGCTGCATGTGAGTGGCGAGGGAGGGAGGGGAGAGATGGAATAGAGGAGGGAGGAGGGAGAGAGAACGGTTGTCGTTCAGACTGCTGAGTGCTGAGTCCTGAGTGTTTTCAAGTGATTTGATGCATGCTGTGAGTGACGCGTGAGAGTTCTGAGTAATGGTATTCCTACGAGCCATCAACATTTTAAAAACACGTATTTCACATGTTCTTATTATGACGATTCCTTTTTTATAATGCCTAAACTTTCTTCATAACTAGTACCTTGTCGTGCTTTGTTTACTCGTACTCATACTCAGACCAGGATACGGTTTAACCTACCTTTAGACAGGACGCTGAGCGTCATTTATAGCTACTGAAGCTCCTGCTACTGGATTTGATTTGGGGTAGGAAGTTATGCAACAACAACATAATTTCCCCTTCCTTGGCCTCTGCGACTGGTATTCGTGTAAACCCGTCCTGGTCTGCGTCGTACCCTGTCTAGTGTCTACCCCGTTTGACCGTACCCTACCTCTCCTTCAGCTGGCGCCGGAGCGGCGGGCGGCGGCGGACGCGGCTCGGCGCCACCGCTACTTCGGCGACCTGCCGGCGCTGCTGTCCAGCCTGCCGGACACTGCCAGCGTGTTCACCGTCCCCGGCGTGCGCCTCCACCCCGAGCCAAAGCACTTCGCGCCCGCCGTCCTCAAAATGGCCGAGCAGCTACGCAAGAAACACTAGCGACGGCCGCGTGAAGCTCTAGTTCAGTGGAAGTCCGCCTGTAGCGCTGGCGTCGGTGCGCCGGGAGGAAGCCGCGCCAGGTAGGCGACAGTGGGTGCTGTAGGTGGGAAGGGAAAAGGAGGTAGGAATGTCAGTCTAGTCACGTGGTTGGTGACACTATCCGAGCCAGTTGGTGTCGAGAGGCCCGCAGATCTGCTAGTGACTGGCGGCGAACGGTTGATTTCTGCTCTGCCATGCCGCCGCTCGGGTCAAATATGGATGCACCGGATTTCGCGTCTGTTTTGATACAGACGTAGTGCTGTTCTGATGTGTTTTACCTATGACGAGTGCTCTACTGTTAACGCCAGACCCCTTGAGACCCTAATTTTTCGCGATTACTTTTAAATGCGTGAAGGAATTTCAACCAAGCTCAGGACATGGCCGTTTCAAGACGGGCCGAAACTTTTACAATTTAGATATTTTATCGCCATTTCAATATTTCAGCACTTGTCATTGACTCGTAATGTTAACTGTTTTTCCATCCTGGATAGAGGCTTTCTACGTCATATGACATTAGGCTCCGCCCACGACTGCGGCATTGACCCGTGCCCATCAGCGACCTCTGTACAAACGACACCCCTGCCATCTGTGAAGGACTATGAATTTCGCTGACGCTTCACGTGCTATGAGTCAATTGCAGCAGACGGTCAAGTAAATGTTAGGCTCTTGTTGACTCTTGTATATAGGACCAAGAGGACCATCACTCCTCAACCTACTACTCAGTCGTGCTTCGAACAAACGTTAACGATTCCTAACAAATACGATTTTCGATGTAGGGTATCTGTTTGAAATACGAGCGAGCCGTATGATGTGAAGCTCAGGCAATTAACTTATTATTATTTGATATTATCTGCAACGCCATAGGCTTAAAATACAGGTGAATATTTCCTAACCTTATGTCAGTTATATGCCATCTGCCCGTCATTTGCAGCTTATAAAAAAAAAAATATATCAGCGAACATGAGTGGTGGATGCGCATTGAGTGGTGGATGCTCAATGCGCATTGTAGAAGCAATGCGCAATGAGCATTTATGACTCCTTAGTCATCATGTCGCTCTCTGGGCACTGTCAGCCAAGACGCTACGCACAACTCCGCCGGCTTTCGGCACCGCTCGCCCGTCGCCCGTCCCCGCTCCCCGCCACAGCGAGAGTGACCGCGCGCCGGCCCGAAACCGCCGCAGGCCAAGACCACAGAGGCGGGGCTTAGCTGTGACGTCATAACGTATCACAGACTGACTGGTGATAGCCTCTACACACCGGATGAAAATCTTGCTCGAAATTTAAAGGTAGTGTGCCACCTTTGAAAGATTTCCCATTTTATTTTTCCTAGGATAAGAAGCTTCTGTTTGTACCTAATATCGCAAAAAAAAATCAAAAATGGGCATGGAATAGTGCCTTTTTCGCCTAAAAGTTTTTCGGTTTTTAGATATGTATAACAACTGTAGTGGGCTCACCTGCAAACAGGCGTCGGGCAACAATCGCGAATGCGGCGCACTTGTGACAATAAGCAAAGGTCATTATAGTGTTACGACCATACGACGTACGGGAATGAGTTATCAGCTGTCTAATCGTAGACAACACAATGTCGAAGCCTTAAACTGTAAGCCCGTATTGGTATTGTTTCTTTTATTTGGCTGTCGAACATTATTTATGGTTTGAAATATGATTTTATGTAAAATAATTGATATGAAAAAGCCGTCTTATAAGTTATGACCCCATTTCACCACACGCAAGTGGCAGAAATGACAATGATCAGCTGACGCATTTTTCTTGGCCGAAGTCAGAGCGCGCGGCCCGACGCACCACGCGTATTTGGAAATTCCGACCTCGACGAGCATCAGAAGCCACCTAACAGGCGTGTTCGAAACCGCAGGAGATGATGATGAACGGGTTTATCGAAACTTGATTGGATGAGCATATCGGTAATAGCGATTTCAGTGTGTGCATTTATTGTTCATAGTGGTGTGAAATGTGGTTGGGGTACGACCGACAACCCGTCGGGGCGAATTTCGCACTGGGGTACTCAAAATTTGAAGAATTTAAGACGTTTCCATGAGTTTTGAAGGTATGGATAAGTTCTAAAAATCCGGTTCTCCTTATCTGGGCCATTAACTCCATACGGTCCAAGAAAGCTGGCACACTACCTTTAACATTACGAGTCAATGACAAGTGCCTGAAATATTGAAATGGCGATAAAATATCTAAGTTGTAAAAGTTTCGGCCTGTCTTGAAACGGCCATGTCCTGAGCTTGGTTGAAATTCCTTCACGCATTTAAAAGTAATCGCGAAAAATTAGGGTCTCAAGGGGTCTGGCGTTAACAGTAGTGTGTTTTTACTGATTTAAGTTATTCGTGTTTGTATGCGCTGGTATGTGCTATTTTGTTATTGAGCCTAGTACCCGAGATTAAGATGCTTTTTTAAGCTTGCTTACCCTATGCATATCGTTGACATTTGAGGGCTCATTTAGCGTTCAAGCATTGCTGCTGAGTTTCCCTGATAGAGAGCGCCACAGACGCTATACGTTGCAAATATTTGCAACGTTTTAAGCTCGTCCGATTTTTGACGCTGGTAAATCCTTCAGTGTCATGAGTCCAGAATCGCTTTGCGTGTGTCCCGTCCCAGTGGGTGTTTTTGAAGTCTTCATACTGTGATAGCGAGTGTGCGGTCTGGGCTCGGCTCGGCTCGGTCGGCTCCTCGCCGGCAGGAGCGCTGAATCTCCCCGGCTCAGACCTGGAGGTGGCCCGCACATCGCGACGGTCCGACGCGTCTTTCGTTTGTTTCTCACGGGCCGGCATGGTGAGACAGTTTTAACGCACTGGTGACGATTCTGACGCACACCCCCGCGCATCGATGTTACGCGCGACGGTCCCGACTCAAAGCGGCGTAAGTGCACATAAGTGCTGGTCACGCCCTCGGACGGCCAGGACTCTCAGTTGCGGAGCTCGCGGGTCGAGTCTCCCCCGGTGGTACCCGAACGGCCAGAGCCGCACTGTCCAAAGGTAACCATGATTGTGGCTTTCATCCATACTGCGCGGGTCGCCTGCCCCCGTCTATGTCGTCTCGCTCCGATGAATAGAATTGAGTCTCGCCATTGGTTGTTTGGGATTTGATCTTTCACGGTGGCGCGATGATTTAGAGATCTTGGCTTTGCTGGCTTGTGAATGAATGATAATGGCCTTATAAAAAAGTGCAGCGATTTGTCGAAAATGGAAGGAAGGTAGTCAGGGACGCAGATTCATTCGTGAGAGGCAATGACAATACTTTGGACATGAGACTGGCATCGCGGATGTCAGGTTCGAGGGCAGATGAGAAAACTGCCTCTCAGCTTGCGAGCTAAGAGCACCTTTACCAGCAATGTCTAAATCGAGAAAGCCTTATCGTATTACTCTGGATATGGAGCCGGCATCACAAGCTGAGCTTCTATTTCAACTACTTTAAAAGTTAGTTATCTATGTTGACCTAGCTTTTTAAATAGTTTTGAACACATTGAAGTAGGGTTTGATCATGTTCCATACTTTTTGATAAGTTTTCGGATGGCGGTTCTTTCTTATGTTGCTACGTGACTCTGGAGTCGTGCTGTGTCCGTGGGAGGGTGTCCCGCTATTCGTTCTTCTATGTGGAGCGTCGCAATGGTGTGGGTTGAGGATAGATGGATGCGGGGTCGGGGGGGGGGGGGAGGACGCAACAAAAGCGGCATTTGCGAGTATTTGACATTTTCTAGTAAAACTGTGTCTATACCTACGGGGTACAATAACTCACCCATCCCATTTCATCGCTCGCCTTCAAATAGGTAGGTGCTACATTGGGAAGTAGAGATGCCCCAAATTTGCAATTTCATTACCCGCCCCGCCCCGCAGCTACCCCTTGCCCAACCACAACTACCCGCAAGCTGATTTTGGCTGAGCCGAACCCGCAAAAAACCCGCAATCTTAAAAACATACTTTTGCAAGAAAAAAAAATACAGCTGAGTCAATGCTAGAGCTATATAAACCTTACTTGCTTCATTGCTGTGCAGAAAAAGACAGCCAAACAAATAGTAAGGACTTGAAATTGCTATGCTAAGTCCTCAGGAAGTGCACACTGGATAGTGGAAAATGAATAATGCATCAATACATTTGAAATTCCTTTCTGAAGAGTTCAGTAAAATCTTTCTCTCACCTTACCCTTCAGCATTGGCTGAGGATCAAAATTTCACTCTGGCTCCCTCTCAATGTTAGGCCTCTGGAATGATATTGTTATCAAAATGAATGTTGATATAAAAAGATATGCGATTTCCAGTTAAAAATAAATAGTGACACAGTGAATAATGAGTATCCAGTCGATCTACACATAAAACAAATTATGCAAAATCCCAGCAAAAACCAACTATAATAACATACATGGCCTTGCAACTAACCACCAATGAACCACGCATTTCTGGAAACATGCGTCAGAAGCGTCACCAACAGCTGATTGTAAGGAATGTTACAGCGACTAAATTATTGCGGCCGTAGTTAGTCGAACTTGTTGCGAAAACACTGCTGTATAATGCATATTCATGTGCCATTCTGATTAAATTATTTTACACAACAGCTAAAGTTTTACAATTCAGAGGTTAATCACCGGTTTAGAAATAAAGAGACAGTAAATGCTAAATTAAATGTAATGATTTTATAGATGGTCTTGGTAATGCTCTCCGGCTGGTCATCTGTTGGCATACAAATGATAAGGACGTAAAAAGACAAAAGAAATAAATGCGACCAGCTACGTGGTTTTGTAACATGTATAACTGCTATTTTGAGGCATTCAAAAACCAAGACAGAAAAACTGATTGAAAATTATTGCGTCATCAATGACAGCTTTCCTTCGCCTCAGAGACCAAAATTGACGCAGTCAAATGCCAATCCTTGTCAGAATGTCGGAAGTGCGCCAGTATTGTATTGCGTTATGTTTGGGCCGGCCAGTCTATATTTTGATTTTTTGTAAGGGTAATTGGTGTGTTATTTTCGTAATATAGGGTGGAACAGAACATAGAGTAGGATAGGTAATCAATGAATTTGCATCAAATTTTGTTTAGCTGATAGCTCTTTTTTATGCCGACCAGACGCAAATAAAGTAACATGTGGCATTTGCTCTGATTTTCAACATCTCATTTAAGTCTGGGTTCTTCCATAATGTATATCTAGTGCACACTGCACAGTGCACATAGACTTCAGTTCAGCTTCCTATAAGTTTGCTTTCAGGGTCTTTTATGTTTTATGGAATGCTTTCATCAGCATTTATTTATGCTTAGTAGTTTATTGCTTGTACCCTGGTTTGGTCATTGCCAGACTGTGGATGCTATTGCTGGTTGTTTTCACTTTTGCATTTGAAATGTGCTTCCTTGATATATTTTTATATTTGGTTCTGTTTTAAAAGTTGTTTTGATGAATATTGTATTGTTAACCTGAGCAAATGCACTTGGCATTGTGTTTTGCATCTAAAAAAAAAATAAAAAATTATAGGTTCTTAAGTCTGACCGCCAAATACCCGCCACACGACAAGTTTTGCTTCTCGAACCCGCCAAAAACCCTGCGGGTTTTGAAAACCCGCAGAAAGCGGGTTCGCGGGTTCAAAAAGGGCATCTCTATTGGGAAGTGTGTCTGTCAGGAAATCACGTGTCGCAACCATCTGTCCTTTTCGATTGAGCCAGAAGCGAAGACCCCAAATCCAAATTTACGCCAGAAGTTGGGAAGCAATGACCCTACCCAATATACCCGGATGCCGTTGAATCAAGCACGGATCAGAGGGACTCGGATCCAATTTTTGTGCAGGTGTTCTGAAGGCGTTGTAAAGGTCAGTATTGCTAGACATGCTGCGCCTCTTCCTTATTGTTGCAGTTTTGACAAAGGCTGTAGATTGTGAGACGCCATGCGATGGCATCGACTCATGCGTTATCCAAGACGACAGGTATAGTTTAGCTGATATGAGCTACGTTCCACAGTACCGACGGTTTAAGAAACCGGCAAATGGATCGTCAAATCATCAAAAGTCGCAGGCTTCTGGAGGCGACCATCTTTCCCGAGAAAAGAGGTCTCCCTTCAGTGCAAGACGGAAGCAGACTCGTGAAAGGAAACCATCGCTGAAGAGTTTATTCTCTGACGAAGACGCAGCGGGTGATTTGAATGCGTCCCTAGAGATGCTTCAAGAGTTCAGCAGAAGCATGGCATACTTTGATAACGTCGCTCGCATGGAAGAAGAGCATCACCATCATCATGAGCACCACTCCGGCAATGGCACAGATGAAGACGAAGATGAAGAAGGCGCGTGTACCAACGTTGAGCTTTCCTGGGACGAGCACTGCTACTTTCTCACCAAAGAACCTGTCGCTGGCTTCAGAGCTGCAACCGTGTGCGCCAAAACGTTTGCCACAGCAGAGTTTTCCGTAATTGAGAACGAGGAAATCAACGATCTTATCAGTGACTACGTCAAGAAAATCGACCAAACCTCTGGAAAGCCGCTTCACCAACAGATCACCTACATTTACATCAAGGACGACCACCAAAACCCCGAGCTCCGCGACACCAAGATAAACCCCGAAGAGGAACTGTTCAAGAAGAGCATCTGTGACATGGTCGGATGTCAGTGCACGGCGCTACGCAGTCTGACGGGCACCTGGCACAGTCGTATATGTGACACGCGTCACTATGCGCTCTGCCGGCGACCTCACCGTCACGAGCACGGGGGAGAGCTGGAGGAGGCGTCCACAGAGGCCACATTTGTCGACAAACATGACGAGGAGGAGATCAGTGGTGGCGCGCCGGTGACTATCGTTAGGTTCTGGTTCGCTATGCCGGCTGTGTTAGCAATACTCACACGACTGCTGCTGTTGCCTGACATCGACAATGGGCTTGAATGATTATATTTTTCGGTCGCTCGGGTCGCTCGGGGCTCGTTGGTCAATATTTCGCTCAGCGAGTATAGTATGGTTGTTTTGGTGCAGATTGCTTAATGTCTGTCAATTTTGCTTCGTGTGCCCTGGTTAATGACAAAATGTTGCATGCATGTTGATCGTTCGCATGTTAACGCTTTTATCGTGCCAGGCTGTTAAATGTTATGCAACTCCTCAAGTGGTCAACGTAAAATGCCCACCATGTTCGTTCATGCCTTATTCATCAATGCATTCATACCACTCATTATTGCATTCCATTACGAGTAATATCAAGCTTTATGAGTGGGAAATGGGACTGGATAAAGGGTGCTGATATGGCTGAAAACGCCATACCAGTGGGAATCGTCGAAAGTTGATCCCAGAGAGACCAAGGTCGATATTAATCCGTGTCCCAATTCCACACTCCCTCCTCCCCCCTCCCCCCCCCCCGTAGCACACACACAGACAAAAAATCATGTGAAAGTAAGAACATTTCTGTTGTGTAGCGTAGTGTTAAAAGTGGCTTGTGCCGCCACTTGAGTCGGTTACTGAGTGTAGGTATGTACCCTAGCATCTCATTGGGTGAGGTGCTTGTGGATTAATTATCTCACAAATCGTGGATAGCTGCGTCATTTCATTGATCCCAGCACCGCATAATGGCCTATATATTTTCATTAATGATCTACGCATTTCAAGCAGCACAGTTCGCCTTCGGCCATCTGCTGAATCAATGGACGCAGGAGAGGAAAGGTCAATCAGGTGTGGGGTGGATATTAATAATCGTGTAAACCTTTACGTTGCGAGCTGACGTACGTCACATATTTATTTTCACATAATCGTACAAAATAGATAATAAGATATGCAATGCGAGGGCAACATGTCGCCTAGACGGTCAAAAAGGCAAATTGTTAGGCATTCAACTGACAATAAGGCATGTCACAACTCGCAAGGCACCAGAGGAAGAGTGCGAAACGTCACTGGAAGCCCACAAATATCAAGACGCTGACCAATGACAAGACATTTCAAGCGACAAGTTACCCAATTCTCGAAAGGCGATGACTAGCTGGCCAGTAAAGGACCATGACTAGGTGGCTGAAACACATGACTAACTAGCTCATGACTAGCGCGTCTAGCTACTGAAAGCTGGTGACTAGTCGTCCAGTGCGAGGATATCCGACACATGGAAGGATCGGTACACTCTG